AAAAGCCAACTACTATTATGTTTGGCGTTAGGTTTTAGTGTTCAGAGTTCTCTTGTATTACACTATACAGACAGCTGTAGAACATGGGCAAAAATCACACAAATCTTCATTCACAAGACTAATCACTTCAGTATCAATAGGATAAGTCACTTGCGTAAGGACTACTCCTGTAAAAGTTTTCACGATAAAAACATATTCAATTAGCAATGTCCTATCTCACTCTAAATTTTCAGATGTGAGTTTTGGTTCCAGTGTAGGCTGGCATTTGAAGAACAACCATTTCTGTCCACATAACTATACAAATGACACCATCACAAGACTTAACCATATCTGCCACACTAACAGGGGCTCATCGAACTGCACATCCACTAATGCGGTATTTGCCATCATGTGCTAGCAATGCCCCGCTGCCATCTATACTGGTCAAACAGAGCAGTCTCTGAACCAAAGGATAAAGGGACAAGAATCAGACATCAGGGAAGATAAAACATACACAAACTATAGGAGAACAAAATAATTTCAAAACCTGATTACAAAGAGAGGAAGCTGATGTGGAACTCAAACAATTGGTTTAGGACTGAATAATTATCTACAAAGGCAACGTTCCCTCTCTGGATATTCACTTCTCCACATCAAATGCTGAAAATTACTCACTTCCGCTCCGACATAATTAGCTTCATTAACACAAGCAACTTGTTCCTTATATATACCCCTCATTCCTTATATATACCCTGCGTAAACCTCATTTTTTAAGGAAAAGTGGCTTGTCAACAAACGGGAGGGTTCACCAACAAAAACCGTGTCTTAATTACTTTCACTTTCGAAAGTGCCACTTTCAAAAGTGAGCTCAAAAGAAGATAGGCAAATTCCTCTAAGGGTACATCTACATTACGGGACAAGGTTGAATTACGATACACAACTTCAGCTACATTAATTGCATAGCTGAAGTCAAAGTACCTTAACTCGGCTTTTGGCGCGGTCTACACTGCAGAAAGTCAAAGGGAGAACACTCTTCCTTTGACTTCCCTTACTACTCATGAAAGCAGCCGACCAGATTGCCTCTCTCACTTCAAATTAGCTGTCTTCACTAGACCCATTAATTCGAACCCTGGAAGATTGACAGCAATCTTTGATCTTCCTCTGTAGTATAGATGTTCCCTATGGTTCTACAGGACTCCCCATTGTTTTTGCAGATACATAATAGCATGCCTACCCCTCTGAGACTTTTTGAGAAAAGATTGTCTGGATCTCACACATAATATATTGATTCTAACGAATCAGTCATGGTTAACATTGCCAGGCTATGAACACTAAAAAAGCTTGTAGAAAAAAAAGCAGACCCACCTCTGCTACTATGCAAGATGCAGTCCAATGATCTAAAAAAAGCAGGAGGGGAATGCAAGTACACGTGTTTGGGAAACAGTATGTAACAGCAGCTAGTTTGCTTGAAATTAACATATTTTTGCAAGGAAATATTTCAAAAAGAAAAATAATACAAATTAATATAAGGAATAAACAATGTAGATGCACCATTACCTACCAGCTATAGATGGCATGGAATGTGGAGTCAAGCATTTTGAATAACCAACCATTTTCACAAAACAAGATCATTGGGGTATACTTGGTGCAACTCCTTATTTATTTGGACAGGGAAAGAAGGAAATTCTTCATAAGGGTCCTGCTGGATGGCCTGAGATCTCTGTGAGCCAAAGTCGCTCTGTGAGCCAAAGTCGCTGAATCCAAAAGATCAGTGCATTCAAAAGACAAACTCAACATCTGGTCAGCATGCTTTATTTTATAAGCATATAATAAGGCATGAGGTACTTTTACACTGGCACTTTTGAGGATAAAATGAATAACAATGCGCTGAAAGTTTGAGGGATGAATTAACTTTGGGCAAACACTCCCCTTCTTTTTATCCCAGATGGAAGCTATGGTTCTGAATATGGACTGAACGCATTTGACATGGTATTCAGAGGTATAGAGTTCTTCTGCAGGACAAACACCTGAACTTGCTTCACTCATGCTGATGATTAAAGATGCCATTCTCTTCCAACATTCTTGTCCACTGGTGTCACTATCTGAGATTTTACAGTGATGGAAAATGCCCTTTTTAGATCCCTTCATATAAAAACACAAATCAATATTAAATTCTGTTACTACAGATGGCAACTAAACACTAAAAATACTGAATATAGGAAGACGTCCTGTATTAAAGCAGCCATAAAGGGATGACTGGCACAAGAATAATATGAAGAAATGCAAACAAAAAGAAAATCATTTTCATAAATTGGCTTGAATAAGCTAAGAGTGCCATAAGATATTCCTTAAGCAATTGTACAGCAAAAGGCACTTATAAGTTATTATAATAAATTCTTATCAAATGTAAATGTGTCTTCATACTAGAGAGGAAGAAAGCAGAATACCTTCAATCAACACTATATGGGTTAAGGAAAGATCAAAATATTCATGGTCTGTTTAATGATCTATCACATGCCACTGGGAAGACTTTCAACAGTAAATAGTCTTATATAGATACCTATTACTCCCCACTCCATAGCCCAATTTTTCATACTTGCGCTCTGGCCACCATATCATTAGCTGATGTAAAGAATCATAATTCCACTGAAGTAAGTGGGGCTACCAGCTAAAGACCTGGCCCCGAAAGGCTGACTTCCTTTTACATTACAAGATGAAGTAAACTGCATTTCAGTCAATAGCCTGCAGAAGCTACCACACTTCCAAACACAACCAGAACACACACACACAACCATTCACATTACAAAGACATTTTTTCTTCTTTTCTTTTGGTCTCAATGCCTAGAGCTGCTAGAACCCCAACAATTGGTGCTTGCTATGCAGGGAAGGAAACTGAAAGTGTACCTTTTGGCACCTCTGATAAATACATTAAAAATACAGTGAATTAGGAAAAGAAATAGCAGTCCCATAACATACAACATTAAAAAAAAAAAACATGCAGTATACTTTACAAAATAGCTATGCAACTATTCTCCACATATCCTAAAATCACCCCTGATATATCTGTTTTTTCCTCAGCCTTTATAAAACATATGTCTCACAGAGAGCCCTAAAAGTCAACAGTTTTGAAAGAGGAGAGCACATTGTAAAGGACAGGGAATCTTACAGGCTAGTATGAAACATTTCTTAGACCTGGTCTACGCTAGGGCCTTAGTCTGAAATTAGCCCCCCTAAGGTTGAATTTGTAAGCAATGCGTCCACACTACCAAGCCCATTATTCCGGAATAATGGGCTGTAGAATTCTAATTCTGTAGTCCCGCTTTGCATGAGGAATAATACTGTTCCAGAACTTGTAAATGCAAAATAACAGTATGGAGGCTCCAGTGCCGCTAATTCAAACATTGCCCTCTGGGAAGTCACCCACAGCTCCACAGAGTTCTTCCTGGGGCTCTGAGTCCAAGATAAGGCACCCATATTAACAGAGCCTGCCTCAGACTACATTCGATTCTTCCCCATATGGTGAGGACACGGAACTTCAAATTTGTAAAATCGGGTGCCCAGAAGTTTAATTTAGTAAATTCTAACTAATCTTCTAGTATAGACATGGCCTTACTCTTTACTTCTAAAATTATTCTCTTATGTTTTTTTTTTCCTTAGAGACCATCCTTCTCAAAAAGAAAATATGTAATATATCTTTGGGTACAGGGATTATTTTATTTTTTTAACAATAATGTTTGTGATTTTGTCACCACCAAAGTCCTCATCCTGTCTTTAGCTTAAACAAAACATGAACATTTTTCATTTTTAAAGTAAAGATAGATCTAATCAGTCCTACACTTCGAGAAATTCATAATCTCTATTTAGGTCTGAATCATGTTCTTAGGTTTTTGTCGGTTTTATAAAGTTATTCACATATGAGAAATCCCTGTAAAGAGCTACTAAGGTAAGTCAATATACAATCCAAAGCCATCAATTAGCATTTTTGCTAATAATACTAACTAGAAACCTTGTCATGTAAATTCATTTGTGCTGTACAGAACCATTCAAAAGATAATAAACCAAAGTTCTGGTAAGAAATTATATCCCCTCATGAATATCCCAAAAATCATCATTTAATTCAAGTGTGATGATTGCAAGTTACTTTATTTTAAATATTTTTGTTTATGAAATGTTTCATGCCCTTTGAAATAAGATGAAATTCAAGTCTTTCCTTTGCAAACAATACTGCAGAGCTCATCAACGGAGCGCTCTCTGATATTGTTGTGACAAAGCTAGATTAGTGGGATGCTGGATAGGTTCTCAGAACAAATTTCTTAACTAATCAAAGAAAAGACTTAAAATAGGATTGCCACTGGTGAAGTACCAACTTTTCAAAAGATGGTCAACCAGACTTTTCAACTGCTAATAAATGAAACTGTAAAATCAAGATCACACACACAATACCTGGCGAAAATAAAATGGTACATAATCTATTTCTGATTTTACACATGTTCACCAACACTGACTGACAATAGCTTATCAGTTTCAGCAGAAATGCCTTCATGTTCCAATGGAAGGCTCACAGGAGAATGAAAACTTTAACATACAATGTATATTAAAGCATGAGGATGCACCTTTAATGCTATTTTTTTCCTGGATGCCACTATTGTTTCATAGCAGTACACACACCACACACTATTTAGCTCATAAGTCTATGTGAACTAATTCATTTTGTATTATTACAGGATTTGCAGAAACAAGGAAGTGCATTAGACGGGTTAAATTAGCTTCAGAAACTATTCCCATGGTCATCCAAGGTTATGTGGCCAACTCATTTTCTTCTGACAGTACAATTTTCACCCAACAGCATAATTCCTATTAACCCACACAGACGTGAATAGAGCATTCTTTTGAGAATTTTAAACTAGCACTTAACTAGAGTTAACATACCATAGAAGTTAGCAAAAATTCTAGTGACAGGATCCCTTGATCAAGTAACTACTGAAATGCATGCAATATTTGAATGAGCAAAAGTTGCTTACATGTACTCTTATGTAAGCCCAGATGGAGCAGCAAAAGGATGCAAATGGACTTGAAAGCTGGAAAATTAGAAAAATGAGGAGTCAGAAATAAAGAGGAGTAAGCAGTACCCCATTTAAATTAAATCTGTTCAAGCATGAAAGGCAGTGAATGTAGGGTTTCTGTTCACTGCACAGGGTCATAGGCCTAAGGAAATCTGAGATCCATTTGGCACATCAGATCCTTTGAAGTATACACAATATGGGTACGTCTACATCGCATGCTTATTTGAGAATAAGCTATTTTGAAATTTATATTTCGAAATAGCTTATTTCAAAATAGCATGTCTACACAGCAAATGCCTGTCGAAGTAGCGCTGAGCTATTAAAAAAAAAAAAAGAGCGTCCATAGTTATGGGACGATGAATCACATTTAAGGCCACCCAGAAGCACTTCAGGCAGGGCATCAGGACAGCAGTCACTTTCCATAGCTGCTGCATCGCTACCTGAAAGCTCACCACACTGGACAACTACCTATTTGTGGGGAACCAGTTTAGCGTGGGGAAATTGACCGTCAGGCCGTGTTCATGCAGGTATGACTCTTTTGTGCTATTGGCCCGGGATGAGGGCAGTGAAATGATGGAATGGGGTTCCCTAGGGAAGGGGGTTGGTGGTGATAGTGGAAGCTCCCTTCCCAGGAGGTATTTCAGTCCTGCCTGCTTCTCCCTCCTCCCCCTCCCCTGCAGACACAATAAACCACACTTTTTGTTTTGAAACAATAAACTGGGATTTTTTTAAGCTGAGGTTCCATGCTGGGATCATGCTGGCCAGGTCAGGAGCCTGGAGAGGGGAGGATGGGATGGCTTGGCTTGGCTTTCCTCACACCGGGTCCAGCAATGGTGGCGTCCCACACAGACAGAGATCGCTGCCCGCTGGGGGAAGGGGTGATGTGTGTGTGGGGGGGGGAACGGGTGGTGTATCTCTCCCCCCACCCCATGTCCCCAGCCTCCTTCTAATGGTTGTTTGTGGTGGGAAGGTGTGCACGTCTTTCATCTCTGCTAGAGTCCTGGGAGCTGGCTGGCTGCCTGCTTGGCTGCAGCTGTGAAAGGCTCAGACGGAGCACAGGAGTCGCTCATGGCAGCAGGAGCAGCCCCTGTCCACTGGGGGTCCCAACTCTGCATTTAAAATGTAGTAGGAGCCAGGCAGGCAGGCAGCCCAGATCTGTCCCTGCGTGCACAGGGTTCAGGACCAAACCCCACTGCAGCTCTACAATTTAAAAGGCAGCAGGAGATGGGCAGGTTTGGTCCCAACATGAGCCAGGACTCAATCAACTACTTTTCCCTATTGATTAATTGAGCAGTCGATAAAAATGCTATTGTCTAGTCAATTAGTAAAATAAACTCATTTTAACATCCTTATGCCACACTCCTCTCGCTGTATCCCTTTCTTTTCTCTTCAAGCATCTGAGGTGAGCTATATCTCACAAAAGCTTATGTCCTAATAAATTTGTTAGTCTTCAAAAGGGCCACCAGACTCCTTGTTGTTTTTGCTGAAACAGACTAACACTACTATCCCTCTGAAACCATTAATTCACTTGTTAGGGATACTTATTTCTTTACCAATATCTGAATTCTCAATGCAAACTCATAGGATTGTCCCTTCTAGAATTTCCAGAACCTCACAAAACATTCTAAGCCAAAATCAGTATTCCTCCCCTACTGCCTATTGAGGCAACAGTTCTAAATCTAACAAAAACTATTTCACAGTTTAAACAAATCGAAATAAAAAAAATCCTCACATTCTTTCATTCCTGATAGCTAAACAGGACTTAACATCCCTACCACTTTACCTAGTCAAGGGGCAAATGCTGTGCAATGATGCCATCCACACTACGATATCATCCATCACAAGAGCAAAGATTTATACCTATGTATAATATTTAAGTATCTGAAATGTAAAAATATAAAGAGAGAAGTATGTATATATGTATTTTATAGAATCTAAGAACCACTAACATGCTTCATAGGTCCCATATCTTTTTTTTCCCTGGGGAGGAGGTGATGACATATTGGCAGTATAGTTGGGCATAATGGCACAGACTGGCAGAATGGTCCTATGACTAGAGCCCTAAACTGGGACCAGAACACAGCGGTGTACTCCCAGCTCTGCTAAGAGCCTTTGAGTGATTTTGGGCAAGACATTTTGCCTCTCTTTGCCTCATTTTCCCCATCTGTACAATGGGTATAATGACACTTATCTCCTTTGTAGATTGTTTCAATATCTACTGTTCTTATTGTTACCAAAACATAGTTTTAGATAGTCAATTTTATTATTGTTGTTGCTACTCCAGGATATTTTGCATTGAATTCAATGGAACTTTTTGCAAAATGTTTTTTACTAGTCTTTCATAAAAGTTTCCCTGAAACAATATAGTTTGCCAAAAAAAATTAAAAAGCAAATTAAAAAATTAGCTCCATACCCTAAACAAAATTTTGCATGTGTGCATACATATTTTAATTCTGAAACTTAATTGCGATTATACTTCCTATTACATTAGGGAAAACCTGACATGATTTTAAGCTCAGAAAAACAAATTGTTAAATCTTTTACAATCACAGTTTGTAATTAACTTCTCATCCCTAATGCAAGTATAGCATTAATCTATCAACTCATGCAATGTTACATTTGTCTAATTATACTTCATGATCACAGACGAAATATAGCATTATGGAAAGTATGCATAAGTTGGTGGGTCTCCACTCAACCACTATCTTAAAACACTTCCCTAAAAGCTAAATGGTCTCAAACTGAGTGGAAATAAATTATTATAGCTTCTGTCTAGTGCTTTATGTTTTTCACGATAGCAATCCCTGTTATCTCAAAGTGATATGCGGATGCCAACCACATTCAGGCTTGCCTCATTTATTATAAAAGCATTGACCTTTCAAACATTTTCCTGGTCTTCCTTTAAAAAATAAACAAACATGTGAGTGTCAGTGAAGAGGAAAATTAGCCTTTTGAAACAAAACAAAAAATACCCATATTAAAAAAAAAGCCACAACACTGAACAAGAAATGCATGCTTATACAAAGATGATTTTATTGTGCATACTCCAGAAAAGTCCTTGACATCACTAATGTTTGCCTTATGCACAAGTCCCAGAGCCAAAACTCCATCTGGAATAGATTTGAACTGCTATCCAGAGGCATTTCAGGATCTGAACCGAAAGGTTTACGGCATTACAATCCAGCTAATTCTATTGCTTCTAATTCCAGCTGGACTTAAACTCTTATCTCTGCACTCCAGGCCTTCAGATATGTCCTATCACAGTAGTACCAATTCCCAGAGAATATTCAACTCCATGACCCAAGTGAGATTAAATCCCTCCAGATAGACCAAGTAAATGGCTCATAACTTGTTTCTGTCACTTTCACTAATGCCTTTGTGCCGTGAAAGAAACCAGTGAAGGTGTAAATAACCACAAATGATTAACTGTGCTTTTCCCCCTGACTTCTATCAGTGATTCCAGTTGTCTGCTTCCTGCTGGGGACATCACATAGATATACAGTACCTGAACTTTCACCTTAAATCCCATGTTAATCAACTGCTAGACAGATATTTGTACTGTATCAATTTGATGGTTGTTATTCTTGGTGATTTAATATATATAGCCCACTTCTCTCGGTACTGCTATATTTATACTTGAAAGGAGTCATAGTTAGACTCTTTCAGATCAAGCTACACCATACCACACTTCCTCGATTAAATAGGTTCCACCTGAAAGGAGGCAAAATGAATTGAAATGGATTAATCAAAACTTAGTCAGGAAGACATAGGTTACTTTCAAGCATGAAAAGATACAGTTTCCAATCAGCTGACAACAGTTCCCTTAAAACAAGTGAAAGAGAAAGGACAGAGACACTTCCTCCAAAGATACAGGGATACAACTGAGAAACTGCTTTGGGAATCAAACCACAATTAGGAATATACAGTCCAGACTAGGGAGTTCGCCTTAGAAAGAGCTACCCTTGGATCACGGCAATTTATTTTGCAGGGACCCAGAAGCTAACAAAATAAAAACACTTCATTACTTGGTCTGTGATACTGGAACATATTATATATTGGCCCAAGTCATATGAAGGTGAAGGTGATAAAACATAAGGAATTATTATGTGATCTGGGCTTTGCAATTCCAACTCCTTGGAGATGCCTCTAGAGGACAACAAAAAAGCAGACACAACGGAGAAAGCTTCCAATTGGAAACAATCTCTGCTGTGCTCTCCCCCCCGCCCACCCAAAATAGGCCACTTATACTCTATGGTACCTAAATAGATGGAAATAGTTATCTAGTGTCACACATGGACTTATCTGTGATAGAAATGTAACCGTGTTAGTCTGGTGTAGCTGAAACAAAATACAGAACTATGTAGCACTTTAAAGACTAACAAGATAGTTTATTAGATGAGCTTTCGTGGGCCAGACGCACTTCCTGTGCCGCAAGTGTCCATCTGCTATGTACATTGGACAAACATCTGACACTTCGCAAAGGATCAATGCCCCCAAAACAGATATTAGACAGGATCACAAAGAAAAAACAGTTTCTTGCCATTTCAACCAGAAAGGACATTGTCTCAACGACTTAATTACCTGCATCCTGCTTCAAAGGCCTTTTAAGACTTCACTTGAAAGAGAATCCTCTGAACTGTAGCAGCCATAGAATAGGCATAGAAAGAAAAAAAAAAAAAACTGAACAAAGGATCTAGTTATCTTACAAAAAATAAAAATGTTGAGTGGCAACCATAACTGGAAAATGTGAGCTCAAAATGTGAAAGAGGAGGGAAAAAGCAACCGTAGAAGATCTTGTGGATTGAAAATGCTTGGGTAACCTCTTGTACTTTAACCATAATGCAAATGAATTGTTGCATGTTTTTTATCTGTGGTATCTGTTCCCTAAAGTATCCTTCCTCTTTCTCTAATGCTCTACACAATGCATGATGCATATTCCTCATTTTAAAAGCAATTTCCAGACTTATCTATGTGAATACCAGCTTGGGGAAAAAATTGCTGTGCAAACTGAAATC